ATACTAAACTGTGTAAATTAAAGGTGATGAGAAAGTGACCGTAGATAAGACACAGAAGACCCTCAAGCTCCCCCATCCCCCTCCCAACCCCATCAAGAAGACAAACTACTTGTGAAGCTATTGTAGCTATTTCACATTCCCTTGAAATATAATGATGTGATGCATTTTTTATGTGCCAAATTTGATATCTTTACTACAATTACTTGTAAGTAAGTGATCAGAAGGGTGCATTCAGGATAGTAAAATTTTGTGTAGAAGATGGTTGGTATACTATAAAAACTATATACAGTATTTAGAGGTCAGCATTTCTTAAGACATTACTGTTTCAGCCACCGACAACACCCTCAAGGCCTTCAGATGCTTTACCAAAATTGTAAATTTCATGACCCCAGGTTCTTGCATTTCCCTTTGGGGAGGGGGTAAAGTTAATGTTTACACAATTTATATTTGCATTGTGTTTACAATATAGTTAAAGTTATATTACTTTATAGGTCATCTGATCTGAAGGGTTAGGATGACCTATTCCCATCATTTTTTGTCCGTCATCATCCTCAGTGCGCCGTGCATAAACTTTCCATTCAAATGATTTCTTGTCAATAACCAAAATGCCCAGGGTATTGATATTGGGTCTGTAGCATTCTGGGATGAAGGGCTTCCAAGTTTGTTCACATAATTGACCCTGACCCACTTTCCAGGTTACAGGTGTCAAATATGTCAAAATATTTAAGACTTCTTCTCATTGACCAAGACCAAGGATACTGAATTGAGCCTGTAGCAAGCTGGGAAAAAACGGCTACCAAGTTTAATCATATTATTGACCTTGATATACTTTTAAGGTCACCGGTGGCAGATCTGTTGAAATCACTAGGATCAAATTTGTTAAGATCTTAAATTGACTTCTTCTTAATAACCAAAATAGACTGTTGATATTGGTTCTTTAACATAATTGGATCAAAGGCTTCAAAGTTCATTCAGATGATTGACTTTGATCTGCTTTCAAGGTATCTTGGTCAAGTACGTAGAAATCTTAAAATTTCTTCTTTCAGCAAGCAGTAGGTTTGAGTTGTGGTTTTTGTTTGGTAGCATTTAAGAGGAACAGGATGTCAAGTTTGCAGAAAATGTTTTTATAAACCGACAATGTATTCGTTGTAAGCTGTATAGTAGTTGAGCAATTTAAGCCTATTGGGCCTCTTTCTTATATAGGTCTTTATAGTCAGATGACCATTTTGGCCCATGGGCCTCTTGTTTTAAGAAAATAATTTCTATGATGTGTTACAAGAAGCATCGTGACTCAGGTGACTGGTAAGGCCATTGGTCCTCTTGTTATATTACCTGTTACTCATGCTAGGCTGGGGTTGATACCTGTTATCACAGGACAATGGCATTGGTTTATAATTTTACTAAATAGTAATTATATATGTGTAGACTTATTACCAGGCACAAGTTTACTGCCAGTTGATCATGGTAAGATGGTTTAGTTATATAGAAATGCTGATATATGCAAAATCATCCAGATTTCATTATTTATCAGGCTTGATACTGACCAGGAGAGAAAACACTGTATAATTAATTGCTTGTACCTGAAACAGGTGGTTCAACACCTTGTAGTGAAGTAGTATCAGAAATATTACAGGGCTTGCACAGGTCTGCTGGATTACAGCTATAGCTTCAGTGTTATACCATATTACCACTGAGAAGGTTTCTCAGTGAAGTGTAAATGTTATGTTATCTGGGTTTAATATATCTGGGGTCAGATTAATTAAGATATATATTATCATAAGCCTCTGTGGCCATGGTCACCCCATTGTTAAGGAGACAGTGACAACCCCTATACTTTACAGCCCAATCTGTAAAATGGTGTGAAATCAGATAGGATACCTGACACCATTGGTTTCACTTTAATGAGCAGACCTCACAGCCCGGTCTTGTCTATAGTGATACACATCAGGATTCTTGGACCATTAACATGGGTTGTGGACTAATTCAGCAGCTGGCTTTGATTGTCTGTGACACTGCAGATCCACAAGAGGACAGACTGACCTGCTGATACATACATAGGATACACAATAGTAGACCTTTGTTTCCTGATCTGGGTTGTTTTTCCTGGACTGGGGTGTCAGTTGGTATTAACAGATTACCCACTGTGAGACAGAAACTGGACACCACTGCTTACCCTGGTGTGCATATATTATAGTGTTGGATGTTTGTACCACCAGACAATAAAGAACAAGCCGGTGCCCTGTGGTCAACCATAAACACATCTATATACACAAATGTCTGGAGGATACTACATAGTGTTGTGGATATAGTGACCTTGACGGGACCAGCAGTACCTGGAATATCAGGCCAACGCATTGTACATCCTCATAATACTCTACCTTAAGCTACAACATGCAGATTCCAGCACAGCAGCTGGAGAAGAGTGACTCGGTACAGGTGTGAGATATAGGTGTGTCATCGTTTGTGGACACACAACTAAGGTGTAATGATATATACACGTTACCGCAGCCAGTGAAGCACCTACAGAGAACATGGATAGATTTAAGGTGGTCAGATGGTTGGATGGTGTTAACTCAGGTAAATGTAAATTGTCACCTGTCATCTTAACACCTACAGAGTGAAATACTGGCTAGTATATGGTTGGCACAGCTGTGATAATGTTAGAGAGACAAGTAGATATTATACGAGATTTTTTTATATATTGTACTGTGTTGTATTATGAAAGGAACATCAACCCAAACTTGTGTTATTAGGAGCTACAGTAACACTGAAAAGACAGTTGGTAAAAGGATTTGAGTATAGCTTAAGATGGCTGTCATTGTTAAGGTCGATACAAATGTACTGATGTAGTATTTAACACATATTGTTGTAATTAACAGACGGTACATGATGTTATGTACATAACATCTCACATTGCATTGGGTTTGGGTGGGGGGTGGGAGTTGGGGGTGGGGAGTATGTAAACATGTCGTTTGGGCACCCTTTCAGAATTCAGTGGGATATGCTATTCACTAGCAGTGAATGTTTGTCACAAACTGTCATGTTAATGAGCTACAACTAACCACCTGTTTATAATGACAACCTGACTAAATTCTCCTGTCTAAAATGATCACCTGATAATAACCACCTATTTATACTAACCACCTGTCTATTAGCATCACATGATCATAACTGTCTGTAATGACCATCTGACTATAACCACATGTCTTTGAGGAACACCTTATTAATAATAACCTGTTTATAAGGATCATCTTGTTGATAATCACCTGTCTATATGGACCAAATATATGGTAATCAGCTGTCTAGAATGATCACCAGACTGATAATCATGTGTCTAGAAGGACAATCTTGTTGGTAATCACCTGTCTGTAAGGACAGACTGACTATAAAAATCTCCTTTCTATAAGGACCACTTGTGTTTCCCTACTTCCTGTCATAAATCACTTCTGTTCTATGTACCACTTGTCAATATATAGCTGTCTTTGGTGTGTAAAAACTGTCTGTCACATGACTTAACCTACTTCCTGTCTGCCACCTGTAAATAGTGACCACCTGTATATAATTAAAAACTTTTTGATTACGTGACATCATATTATTTGTCATGACATTATTCAAAGTCATGATATTTTTTAATTCATCATAATTTTCTAGTTCTTAATTGAAAGTCATTATATTTAATACCAGTGTATTCCAAAGTAATGATGTTTATAATTTCCAAGATATTTATAGTTACGAGACTGGCTACTAGCCGCTAAGATTTTGTAAAGAATTGCTCAGCTAAATTCTTACACTTCATAGCTAATTTTATCATCTCCCTGAGTTTGAAACTCGGGAGAGAAAGACAAAAGTAGCTTGCCAAAGGCTCTCTACTTCTGTTTTTCTTAACCTTTGCCAAAATACAACTTATATTTTAAGACACTGACAATGTATTCTCTGTACATGCACACCATATGATCAATGCCAAAATAGATATTCATGTCAACGTCACGTTTAGATGTTATGATCCACGGTCCAGATGTTTATATGTTCCAAGGTCTTGAAATTTGCATGGTCAAAAGTAATAAAATTTCAGTTTGAAGGTCATGAACTCATATTGTACCAAGGTCATATTGCTTTAATTAATGTATTCCAAGGTCATGATTTTTTATTTCCAGGGTTCAGAGTACATAACACAAATATTTGTTTATTATCACGGTTAATCATTTGTTGAACGACTGTTAAAAGTTGTTATGAGAGAAAAAAAAAAAGGAAAAAAAAGACAATTTGGCTGATTAAGACTTGTAAATGAAGTTTACCACCAAAGATTCTGACTTGCCCAAATTCAACTTTATAAGACAATACAGGGGTAATTTTTTATGAGAATTTGTTTGGAATCATTTTTCAGCATCTTACCAAAGAGAACTATTTGAGATATGATTGCAATGTCTTTTACATCACTTTCACTTATAAATGAATTTGTATGTTTGCCAAGACTAAGTGCTCCCAATCAAATAAATTTATATTGCTCTCACAGAAGTTAGAAATCAAATCAAGAGTTAACATACAGTATTACAAATTTAAAATGTGGATGTACTTTGATGCATTAAGCAGCATGTAATTTATAGCAAAGTAAAAAGGTTCTTAAGGAATGTAAAATATGTGTGGAATTCATTTACATACATGTGCGTTTTTCATGAATATTTTATAATATGATGGCATCCTGTATATGCCTAAGTATTGATACAATATATCTAAATGGTTTTAAGTTTGTGTAACTTGATTTTGATAGTTCAAATTTCAAATCTGAATAAACTTCAGAAATATGTTATGGTTATCAGTATGTCGTGAAAGTGATATGTACTTCTTCACTACATGTCAATATAGGTGTGTGGCAACATACCGGAACAAATGATGAGATTAATTTAGATACCTGATACATGTATATATAATTTCTGAAGGGCTTAAATTTAGTTTAAAGTTGGCTACTTCAGACATAATGGAAACGTTTTTGTGTATTTCAGAGAAAGTAAAATACAGAGCTGCAGAGAATGGAGGTCACAACGCAAATGATCTGAATGGTATGTACATAGATATAAAGGGCTGGAGAAATCAGTATAGTTAGTATGTTATGTACCTAGATATAAAGGGCTGGAGAAATCTGTATAGTGAGAATGTTATGTACCTAGATATAAAGGGCTGGAGAAATCTGTATAGTTAGTATGTTATGTACCTAGATATAACAGGCTGGAGATATCTGTATAGTATGTACCTAGATATAAAGGGCTGGAGAAGTCTGTATAGTTAGTGTGTTATGTACCTAGATATAAAGGGCTGGAGAAATCAGTATAGTTAGTATGTTATGTACCTAGATATAAAGGGCTGGAGAAGTCTGTATAGTTAGTATGGTATTTACCTAGATATAAAGGGCTGGAGATATCTGTATAGTTAGTATGGTATTAACCTAGATATAAAGGGCTGGAGAAATCAGTATAGTTAGTATGGTATGCACCTAGATATAAAGGGCTGGAGAAATTTGTATAGTTAGTATGGTATTTACCTAGATATAAAGGGCTGGAGATATCTGTATAGTTAGTATGGTATGTAGCTAGATATAGAGGGCTAAAAAAGTCTATATAGTTAGTATGTTATGTACCTAGATATAAAGGGCTGGAGATATCTGTATAGTATGTACCTAGATATAAAGGGCTGGAGAAATCTGTATAGTTAGTATGGTATGTAGGTAAATATAAAGGGCTGGAGAAATCTGTATAGTTAGTATGGTATGTACCTAGATATAAAGAGCTTGGAGAAATCTGTATAGTTAGTATGGTATGTACCTAGATATAAAGGGCTGGAGATATCTGTATAGTTAGTATGGTATTTACCTAGATATAAAGGGCTGGAGATATCTGTATAGTTAGTATGGTATGCACCTAGATATAAAGGGCTGGAGATATCTGTATAGTTAGTATGGTATGTTCCTAGATATAAAGGGCTGGAGAAGTATGAATAGTTAAGATAGTGTAAATGTATTACTTTCAGTATGAGGAAAGTGATGTTGTTAATTTGCTGTGTAGATATAGATACTTTGATATTTCTTTTACATTCTAATAATTATTTAGTCCTATTATAAAATTTCTGTAATAATTGTTTAAGTATTTTCAGATTAACTTGCATGTCTGAAGAGTAGAACTTAATTTCTTTTAAACCCTACATCTTATGATGAAATGTTAGATGAATTGATAAAGCAAATATCAATAAAAGTTGGATGTGAATCCTGATGTTGTGACTGACTAAACCCTTGCTATCATATGTTGGACCAGAGGCTGATGAGAGGGATCTGAAGGGCGACTCAGGCCTCACAAAGTAACCATGTTGTCGGGTACACTCAGGTGATAAGGCAAGGAGGTCTGATAAAAGTGTCAGCACATAATCAGGCCTGAGAAATGCCAGATTACAACCACCTGAGGGACAAAATTAGTCCATTTGTACAATACACATTGGCCATTGTCCCAGAGTCTGCACTCATTCTATATATATAATATACAACCCACACAGACCTGAACGTGCTGTAATCAGGATAATAGGAGAAAATAGAAAAACAAAACTGCATGTAAATTAAATTAATTTCATTCAAACTTACATATGTAGATCATCAAATGGTGATTTGTTTTTCCTTAAAGAAAGAATAGAAATTAAAGTCAGTGTCAAAGAGACAAGGCCATTTTATAGCCCTGTTACCACCAAAAAACGTACTTCTTAAAAACATCGCATAAATTTTGTTATGAACATCAAATGTATGTTAGATAACACTGAGCAGAGATTTGACTGATCATTCAGAGCAGCAACACATGGTATTTGAAGGTCATGTAAGAAAGAGGCATGGGTCAAAATATTGCCATTTTAGACTTAACTAAAGCTTGAGAGAAAGATGCTACTTTCATGAAAGTTTTGCTTCCCTTAGTATCCCCACTGGTAAGTTCCCTACGGTGAATCAAACTCAAGACTTTACTCACTGCTTAACTACTAAATCTGTTTCCTTTAAACTGCTCTCTGAGTCAGAATTGGAAGTGAACATTATTCAGGATATAAATTTAGGCTTTAATATACAAATCATGAACATCCTAGAATAAAAGAATAAAGACTTCAAAGTTAAATTGCAACATTGGTTTGGGGTATTAATACTGCTCAGTAATGTCTTATTTTCATTGTTTTATTTTCAAACAAAACAATGAAAATTAGACATTAAAAAATAGCAATTAGATGTATTCAGACAGTCTTCTTATAGTACGTAATAAGTGAATATAACTTAAATATAAGTTTAATTGTGGTACATATAGATGTATAACGGCTATTGTAACAGGAATATTTGATGTCTATTTTAGCCAGGAACATATAATACCAGATAAAGACTATATACTATAGATCCCTGATTTGGCCAAGTTTCTGTTTGTAATGGTATCAGGTTACTGATTATTCTGTTATGATGCTGTATGTTTCAGATGACAATAAAGGTGTGACCACAGTTGAGTTGCTGAAGAGAGATGGATTTGGATTGGGGTTAATTATATCAGGTAATTTTAGAAGTATTGAAAAATGTTTCAAAATTCTCATTTGCCTGACACTTGAAGCATGCTGGTGAAGTAATTTTATGAGCTAATATATTATAATCACCAGTCATATTTGTCAATTTAGGTTATTAGGTCATTTATTGACTGGAGAAATGCTGGACATGCCAAAACTAATCCCCCTTCCTTATCCATTCTGTCAACTCAATACAAATATGTTATTTGTCAAGATCAAGTTAAGTTATCAGATTTGTTCAGTTGATTCACTAAGTTAAATTGCTAAAAAGTGTTTGGATTTCAAATAATCTTCTAGAGGTGATATTTGGTCTGTAAGGTTCCTAAGAACGATACCAATGTACAAGCTCTTGACTTGCCATTAATCGAATATGAGGCAACATGAATGGTATTGATAAAGTCTGTATAGATTACAAACAAAAGAGAGAGATAGGATAGTAAATGGTAAATATTTGATAGGTCTGTGACAATGATGGATGAAATTTCCAATGCTAGGTAATGAAATGAGTTTTTGACTTTTTGTTTGTTGGGTTTTATTGCCCATGAAAAGCCAGGGTCATTTTGAGGTCAGATCTCCTCTAAGTAGTTGGTGACTACCTCGGTGAATGACGTATGGGAGGCCCATTACATGTTATCCAGAGCAATTAGGATTAAGTATCTTAAGAACACAACCATGTTGGCATAGATCAGTCAGTTTCAACATATACTGCCATGGCTAGAAATCATCACCCCAGATTAGCTAGGCCTACTAAGCTCTTTAAGGACTAAGCTATCCAGGCCTCCACTTCTGACATGGGTAACTTCATGTATGATGTATGCTTGTCACCATGTCAGGAGGATTCCTTAAATGACGGAAATTCTTTACACATTTGGAGTAAAAGAAAAATTCTGAACTTTTAAAAATGTAAAAAATTTCCTTTTGTTTCCTTATTTCTTGGTTAATGATTCCTTATGTAAAACCTTTCCTGAAGTAAGGAACAATCTTGAAACTGGAGCTGTTGTTCTGTTGTATTGATTGTGTGTTCAACATAGCTGTTTATCAGAGGTCTCCATCACATGTCACAAATGTCTTCATGCACGGGCTGTCTAACCTACACACAGACACTCCTCTCGTAAGTGGTGTCAGTCTGTTCCACTGAAAGAGAAAATTGTCCATTATCATTATAATTCATATGGATGGGAAAACAATTTCGCTAAAAAATCTTCACCATTATGTTGTGTACACTTAGTCCCCTACAAAAATAAGAGTGTTAGGTTGACATATATTTTAAGTTTCTAGACCATAACAGACAAGTTGTCAACCCACGTCTTTTATTATCTATAGGAAACTAGGCTCCATAAAATTCTGTATAATTGTATAACGTCAAGTATACATACATGGTCCTCTTGTTTACATGTTTTGTGTTGAAGTATACAGATACTTCCATTTAGGACTCTTTGTGCTGAATAGTAAACTCCTAGTTTTCTATGTAGTTGTTGTAACCACATTGATTAAGGCTATGATGGTCTATAAATATATACTCTGAAAAATCCTCTGTTATAGATGTTTTTATCTACGCTCAGGATAGTACCAAATTCCAACCTATTTAGAAAAATGTCTATTTACTGGTACAGAAAACTTAAACAAGGCTTAAACAATTCCAGATCATTAGTCCAAAGTAGTATTAATTAAAAGCTGTATTTATATTATCAAGCTCTTTTGGATAAGAGTTTTATGTAGCAGTGTGGTAGCATGTATCCTTAACCAATCTATCAGTATTTATTAGGGCTGGACAACTGTTGATTGTACAGAGTTTGTGCAATTATATTAATTGTATATGTGTCTCATTTTCCCCCATACATGATAATACAATATATGTCAAATATGTGCAAAAAAAATTCATTCTTTTGTTTTATTGGTTTTTTAAAAATATTTCTTTACAGATCGATGGAGAATGTCATTCTGATGAATTTGATGTTCTCGATTTTTCTTAAGCATTTACTGTTAATGTTTAACACCATTTTGAAAATTTCCTTCAATCGTTTTAATGCCAACAACTTGGTCAAACTTCTTTTATGTCTATATCCACTTGTATTTCATTTAATTGTTATGGGAAAGATTTCCTTGACCATTTAGTGACAGTTTCAATTTTATCCCAGTTGTTAGCAATCAGGTTTGATAATATGAATGACCTTGACCAGCTTGAAGGTCACAGGGGTTGATTTTATTAAAATTTTAAATTGATACTTTTCAGTTACTAAGAGGTACAAGATGACGATGTTTGATCATTTGCATATTGAAATTGATTGTTATTGATAGTAGTAAGAAAATATAGTGTCAAATATAATCTTCTGGTTTTAGGAAGGGGTCACATGTAGAAGTTCTTTTTTCTCGGATAGCAAAAATGAATAATTTGAAGTAAGTCTAGAGTCTAGATATGTGATATGTAAATCACTTACACAATTAGCTATCATGTTTGTGGAAATGATTAACCTTTAGGTAAGATGTTGTGTATAGGTGCAAATCCCGTTGTTGGCCAACAATTTCTAGCGTATATTGATGTCGTTAAAGATGGATCTGTATCTATCTGTATTTAAGTTTTTCAAAAGTTGCGTTTTAAAAATTTCACAATATATTGGGTGTAGGGGTTTTTTTTATCAGTTTTAGTATTGATTGAACTATGCTTAATATTTCACAGTATTTGTCCAGAAATAAACCCAGGTCTGATAATAAGCCTATCCATATTTCTTGTCCTTCAGTGGATTTACAACCCAAGGCTATTTCACTGTCCTGTAATAAGCCCACCCATGTTTATTGCTGTTCAGTAGTATTTCAAACCTAAACTATTTTGGTGTCCTATATAAACTGGACCCATTTCTTATTGTCAGAGATCATGTGTTGACCCACTGGGTTTATGATAAACATTCTATTTAACAAGATGCTGGACAGATACTATGTAAGCATGGGATGAACAGGTCACAATAATGTTGAATTGTTTGTAAAACAGATACAGTGGGACATGAAACGCTAGCTTAAACACTAATCTTCATCACTAGTCCTATATTTCAATTATCGCTGGTTTTCTTGGTGAAAAACTCGGACACTTCATGGTATTTTTACTACTCTATGTTTTTTCCTGTTTTCCTTGAGTTAGGATTAGACAGGTGGTAGCACTAAAGCCCCTGTCAATCAATGTAGATCTGGTCCAAGCTATGTGTACAGACTTCACTTTGGCCTGCAGTATACTTGATTCCTTCTCCCAGCCTGCTGTCTGATACTGATACCAGTTCCCCCATCTTCTTGTCTATTTTGACATCCCAACTGATAAGGATATGGTACTTCTAACATTGTGTCAAATCAGATATAAAATAAGTGTTTAAGTGGCCATGCCTTTGCTGCATAGCCTCCCTAGTGTAACAAATAGAATCTTTATATAAATCTGTTAGTTTTCAACCTCTCAACAGATTTAGTTCATATTACCCCATAGTATCATAACATCAAGTTCTATACCTGATCAGGCTGGTGCAATATTTACCCTATAGTATCATAACATCAAGTTCTACACCTGATCAGACACTGGTGTAATATTTACCCTATAGTATCATAACACCAAGTTCTACACCTGATCAGACTTGTGTGATATTTACACTATAATACCACAACATAAAGTTTTACACCTGACTGGCCCTAATGACCTTTTATGTGTTGATGGGCCATTAAGAATGTCGTAATAATAATTTACACCTGATCAGACACTTGTGTGATATTTACACCATAATACTTTAATGTCAAGTTTTACACTTGATCAGACTCTGGTTTCATTGGAATCATAAAAGACTTAAATGATTTCCTTATTGTATAAGTTTCTTATTTCATCACTTGACCCTGTTGATCCATTTCATCTGATGCCACTTTCATATCATACAAATTACTCAAATTTTATTCTGAATTGTATTGAATTACTAGATATAAGATTTAATGTTACTTGTGTGAAACCTCTTAAAGTAGAAGGTTTTATGTCATGTCTCAGCACAGGAGATTGTGCTTGTATAAAGATATCTTTGAGGACTAATTTACGGAACATCCACCTTTTCCACAATATCGTTTATGAAAGTAAATCCACAACAAATTGTATGGTTGACATTAGTAATGCAAGAGTGAAAAGTTTGAAACAATTGAATAGTACATTAAGGTTGGAATGTCAGTTTCTACATATTACAATCAATTCAACAGTCATTACCAGGTATTGTGATTAGAGACCTCACATTAGTATGTGTAATATTTGTGTAATGATATTTTTTCCTGATATTTCTTGTAAAATCTCTGTGTCATAAAGATACCACACTGTTGTAAGTAAAAGTTCATTCAAGTAGTTACTGAAAAAAACTGTTAGAAATAGAAAATCCTACACAGTGATAATACAGCTGTATATCATGTTTGTTGATCATTACCAGTATTAATTGTTTTTTACCAGGTGGTGTAGATAAAAACCTACGAGCCCAAATATCCAATCTGAAACCTGGTGGTATAGCATACAGGTAAGTAATAATAAAATAGAATATATCTTCACAGTTGTCTTTGTTTTCTGTAATTAAAGAAGTTGTTATCCTGCATGTGCTGCATCTCTTGATTATGTAACCACAGATAAAGCTTACTAGATATGAATTTGTTAATATTCTAATTATACATCCAGGACATAGAGAAGTACACATCATGTACAGTTTATAAGTTTATTATATACTGAGATATATGTAAAGTGTTGTATATCTTAATATGATTGGACAATAAAAGATTGCTCTATTTCTGTTCATGTAGTATAAAAAAACATTTTGTATCGGTATCTATCATTAATATTTAATTAATATTCTTATTGTCTTTGGTATACAAATGTTCCACATGTGACCCTGGCTATTGTTAGGATGTTAAACCTAGTAAAGTAACAGCCAGTATAAGAATTTTTGCTAAGGGGACATAACTCTTGACTTGGTAACAATGTGTTTTTGTCCTGCAGGTCAGACTGTCTGGAGATAGGCGATTACATTCTGTCAGTTAATGGGATAAAGACGGTGGATATGAAACATGATGAGATCATCAGTCTACTGCGTAATGTTGGTGAGCAGGTGCTTCTGGAGGTGGAGTACCAATTACCCGATAATTGTAAGTAAATGTGATCAACCTGGATATGAAATAGAGAGATCATGCTTGATGGATAGGAAATAGAAAGATATCATGCTTGATCGATGGAAATAGAGAGATCATGCATGATGAAATAGTGAATTTCGTGTAGGCTGTGTAATCATTTTACGTAATCATAGTTTATAGGAAGTTTTTAAGATTGAATGGAGGGATAGGCAAGTAGGGTAATAGGTGGATAACTTTTAGAGACATAAATGATTGGTGAGGAGTAGATTGGTTTGGTGAAACATGATAGTGTTGCCAACCTCTAGTCATCTAATACCAGGTCATAGCCTATCTAAATCAAGGGTGACAGATTGCTTAAATGGTCATCAGGGGAAAAAAATGTTTATATATGTTTAATCCCGAAAGGATTTCGAGATTTAAATTCTGATATTGGGGATTCTAGCATTTTTCAGGATGTAAGCAGTTCAATATTAAGTTGAACTGACAAAATTAGACGAGTTTTAGACACTGATATGGTGGATAGGAAACAGGGGACAAGATCAGGCAGACAAGTAGAAGTTTGGAAATAGTTTCTTGTAATGAATAAGAAGTTAAGATGTTTTGTTATGAATACATTCTTATTACATACATTCTGATAACATGCCTTTCTGTTGACCTCTGTTGTGTTAAATGAAAATTTATCTTACAGCCATTTCAGACTCGTTTGCTGTTAGCTGGAAACAAAGTAATATTACCCTGGAAAAGGAGGGTCAGAGCTTTGGTTTTACATTGAGGGGTGGTTACCATGACAAGCAGGTGAAGATCCGTCCGCTAACAATCACCCACATCAGAGGAGGTGGTCCGGCTGACAGGTAACTTTTGGACACTGTACTTTAACCAGTATTTATTTGTATGTTTCTTTTATCTAAATATTGAGTATTAGGTACTGTACACATTTATACCTGTAATGTCTGTTTTCACCTTTATGTACTTTGCACAATCTACTTGTACATGTTGAATATTCCAGGGAGGGATCTATAAAGATTGGAGACAGGATTGTAGCAATTAATGAGTACAATGTGGCCCATTTCACTTTGTCTGAAGTCAACATGTTCCTTCATCAGTGTGGCCAGGAGGTGACCTTCACCGTAGAATATGATGTGTCTGTCATGGGTAAGTGAGATCAAGGTGACCTTCACTGTAGAATATGATGTGAGATGATCGTTGGCAAGGTCAGTCAAGGTGAAATCATTGTAGAGTGTGAGTTAAGTCAGGTCTGTCTAAGTTGATCCTACAGCAGTATGGTTAAAAAGTGACGTGTCATGAAGTCTAATATAGCAAATTATACACCATAGTTCCTCAATGTTATGTGAAGGTTCGGTGTGTTTTATGATGGATAGGTAATATGTAGGTCAAGGTTCCTCACAACCTTGTAGGTTTACTGAAAATGGATATGTGTACCTATTCCATGTTTAGCATTAAATCTAATAGGATCTTCTCAAGTAACAGAATATTTTATTTGAATGTATCATTTTTTGTGTTATTAGATGCTGTGAAGAATGCACTAGGTCCCCTATTAGTGGAGATAGACAAACTGCCAGGCATAACGCTAGGGATCGCTCTTACACAGGCTTCCCATCAGGGGCGCTGGTGTCTCTGTATAGACAACATGCAGCCCATGAGTATAGCAGACAGGTACTCTCTCCATCTCTAACAATTGCACATAATATTTAGATTTTCCTGTGTGATCACTATCTTGATAAATTGTCGACATAATTGAGATTTTCCTATCAGTAGATGTTGACATTACATGTATTAGAATATGTATTTTGAAAGAATTCCATGTTTAATAGTACAGTAGTGATGAACAGTACATGAAATAATGAATGACGACATAGAAGAAGGTAAAATGATCACCAATAAAGGAAACAAGAATGGACAGCAAAGAAAAAACTTGGTTACTTAAATGTTGATACAGTGAAGCATTTAAATGTTTGACATTTTCTTTCCAGATGTGGGGCATTGAACATTGGAGACTTGATCCTGTCAATAGATGGCGCCACAGTGGAGCACATGTCAATAGCAGAGGCAACACAGCTACTGAGGAATAGCACAGAGGATGTGGTAAAGCTGGAGATCCTGCCGGTCAGGGTCGTTCAGCAACAAAACTCTCGTGACATTCTCAGTAAAAATGGCATGTTTTCTGCCCCAGGTTTGTAATCAGAATCAAAATTATTATTAAGTATAAACTTAGCATGCTCTCTGTCTCAGGTACCTTATCAGAAAGAAAATTTATGAGCCATGTTAAACTCGTTGAAGATGGCATGCTCTCTGCTACTGTTGTGTGTTGAAAAATATACTTTATTATATACTCAGTACATATAGCATGTTGTCTGCCCTTGGTACGTGTTGGGGAAATATAGCTTGTTCTATAAATCTTCATATTTGGAATTCTTCACATATATGCATATATCTATTGTCATGATCAGTTTCTAAGGTTACTATGCAAGGGAGCACATGATCAGTTTCTAAGGATGCTATGTAAAGGGACACATGATCAGTTTCTAAGGTTACTGTGTAAAGGGACACATGATCAGTTTCTAAGGTTACTGTGTAAAGGGGCACATGATCAGTTTCTAAGGTTACTGTGTAAAGGGGCACATGATCAGTTTCTAAGGATGCTATGTAAAGGGACACATGATCAGTTTCTAAGGTTACTGTGTAAAGGGACATATGATCAGTTTCTAAGGTTACTGTGTAAAGGGACACATGATCAGTTTCTAAGGTTACTGTGTAAAGGGACACATGATCAGATTCTAAGGTTATTGTGTAAAGGGACACATGATCAGTTTCTAAGGATGCTATGTAAAGGGCCACATGATCAGTTTCTAAGGTTACTGTAAAGGGCCACATGATCAGTTTCTAAGGTTACTGTGTAAAGGGGCACATGATCAGTTTCTAAGGTTACTGTATAAAGGGGCACATGATCAGTTTCTAAGGTTACTGTGTAAAGGGACACATGATCAGTTTCTAAGGTTACTGTGTAAAGGGCCACATGATCAGTTTCTAAGGTTGCTGTGTAAAGGGACACATGATCAGTTTCTAAGGTTACTGTGTAAAGGGACACATGATCAGTTTCTAAGGTTACTATGTAAAGGGACACATGATCAGTTTCTAAGGATGCTATGTAAAGGGACACATGATCAGTTTCTAAGGTTACTATGTAAAGGGACACATGATCAGTTTCTAAGGTGCTATGTAAAGGGACACATGATCAGTTTCTAAGGTTACTGTGTAAAGGGACACATGATCAGTTTCTAAGGTTACTGTGTAAAGGGGCACATGATCAGTTTCTAAGGATGCTATGTAAAGGGCCACATGATCAGTTTCTAAGGTTACTGTGTAAAGGGCCACATGATCAGTTTCTAAGGTTACTGTGTAAAGGGGCACATGATCAGTTTCTAAGGTTACTGTGTAAAGGGGCACATGATCAGTTTCTAAGGTTACTGTGTAAAGGGGCACATGATCAGTTTCTAAGGTTACTGTGTAAAGGGGCACATGATCAGTTTCTAAGGTTACTGTGTAAAGGGGCACATGATCAGTTTCTAAGGTTACTGTGTAAAGGGGCACATGATCAGTTTCTAAGGTTACTGTGTAAAGGGACACATGATCAGTTTCTAAGGTTACTGTGTAAAGGGGCACATGATCAGTTTCTAAGGTTACTGTGTAAAGGGGCACATGATCAGTTTCTAAGGTTACTGTGTAAAGGGGCACATGATCAGTTTCTAAGGTTACTGTGTAAAGGGGCACATGATCAGTTTCTAAGGTTACTGTGTAAAGGGGCACATGATCAGTTTCTAAGGTTGCTGTGTAAAGGGGCACATGATCAGTTTCTGTCAGTGAGGGCACATCATGATCAGTTTCTAAGGTTGCTGTGTGTAAGGGCACAAGATCAGTTTCTAAGTTTGCCATGTGTGAGGGCACATGATCAGTTTCTGTGGTTGCTATGTGCAGATGCCTTCAGTTTTTGAGGTTATTGTGTGTAAGAACACATGACCAGTTTCTATGGTTAGTGTGTGTTGTGATTTTCTTGACAGTTGTGACCATTAAAATATTATTATACAAATTGAAGGCTAGAAGTTGATTTGATCCTATCACATATGAAATATGTACCTATATTTGTTATGTGACAGATTTCTATCCATTTGAAAAATAATTCTTGACAAAAATTTGAGATTTTCAAAACATAAAAATACATGTTTATGGCTTCAGCATGATAAGCTATCAGCTTATTAAATCATTATTTCCCTGCTATCCTCAAATTAATTTCTATTACAGTAAGAAACTCGCATCTAGCTGCAGCATCCTCCTTTCCTGCTATTCCATCATCTTTCTCCACCCCTGTAGGGTTCGGCAGTCAGCACCCTATAGCATCTAGCATGCTCTCCTTTCCTTGTGGGTCTGGTACATTGAAAATGTCAGGACGGAAACAAGCTGCCCTTACGAAGGGGAGTAAAAAGCCTAGCTCTTGTAGTGAGTATACTTCAGAATCTTAAATCTGCTGTACTATCTTGACTGATTAAATATTGCTTGATGTATGTAACATTTTCTTTTTAAAGCTGGTGCAATTTCTCATGTACTGGGTATATCATTAATACACTTCATCAGTGGAAGATTCTCCAAGGAATTAGCAAGGAGTTTTAAAACTTATGCAGAACTGGCTTTGGAAATTTTCAGAATTTGCAGTTTTTAAAATAAAAGCATAAAATAACAGCTGGTATCACTTTAAAATATTATTTTTTCTCCTAGCATTTGTACATTAAATTTGAGGTCGATCTTGTACTGGTTTAGATAATACAGAAATTCTACAAGGTAGTGTTGTGTAATAAACAATACTTTTTATGCTAAAATTATTGTGCTAAAATATGATGTGCAGATTCTTTATTTCAAGCCAAAAGTGATAATGTACTTAAATTTGATTACCAAATTATGTATGTCTACAGTAAATCTAACATCAAAGCTGCAGCTGTATTTGATACTTTAAGCGGATTAATTTTCTTAATACAAAATTCATTTTGACAGCTGATTGTCTCCCTTTTATCACAAATGACAATTTAATGACACTGTAAATCAGATTGAAATTAAATCCTGTTAAATGACATAAGCTTTGTCACATTTGGAATACAGATTACTGGATTTCAAGTAAATGTTCAGAAAAAGAGGTAATCAGGTGTTTCCAAAACAGGAGATGATTTTTTTACCTATTACAGGAAAGAGAATAGAAAATTAATGCTTAATGGTACAAATGAAAACTGTTTAAAAGTAAACAGAAAAGAGTACTAAATTAAAATTGATATGTTTTGTCCAGTGTCTATATCATCAGCGACTACATCTATGATGGTTAGTAATCAGGTGTGCCACTCGGAGACAGTGACAGTCAGTCTGAAGGGCGACTATCGTGGACTAGGGATGATTGTAACTGGTAACAGTGAACACTCTGTCCTAGATGATGCCCCTGTGGTGTCATGTTTACAGCTGGGCAGTGTCGCAGAGCGGTAAGTTCTTTCACTATTTGTCAGCTGTTATTGCATTATCTTGAATAAATAATATTTTTGGTTTGTGAAGCTCAGAAAATGAGTGAAATGAACTGCACTCATTATGTTCTCTTTATCACCTGTAGGTGTGGCCTGATACAAGAGGGGGACAGAGTTCTATCTATCAATGGGAGGGACACGTGTGAGTGTAGTCTAGAAGAAGTGAGTCGTATCCTCAGACAGGCCAAACTTAATGTAGAACTTGATATGGAGTTTGATATTACAGGTATGTTATTGATAACAACATTCCTTAGTGTGGTTTCATTTTCTCTAGATGCTACCTCCCCTTCCAACTGTGCTGGAGATTCTGTACTTACTCATTTCTAATACTGTACATGTATTATCTAAATTAAAGATCAGCAGTGTTCTCATAAAGTTTTCAAACAGATGGTGGTTTTTCAAAAGTAGCCTGCTGATTATCAAAAGGCTAAAGTATCATCAACAGTTTGTGGTCTTTAAGCCAGCTCCAAGTTAAGGAAAAGCAGGTTTTTGGTAATCTGAAAGGATATCTAGGTATTTACAAGTTGAATTGTACTTTACATAATGATTATACTATTGATGTTACAGAGTCAGTGATGCCTAGCTCTGGTACATTTGTGGTCAAGCTTCCCTACCCTGCCGGAGGAATTGGAATTACTATCAATAGTAAGTGTCTTTCAGCAGCTCAGATACTCTATAAGTAGAAACATTCTTAGGGAATTTATTTTCACTAGATTTAGTCAGTTAAGATAGTGTGAAATGAAATATGTGAAATTGAATTTACGGTGTGAAATTAGATACCCAGCAAACAGCGAACTAAAATATTACAAAAATTTGTGTGATAGGCTTACATGAATATCAGTGTATAGATTTACACGAAACTGAATTAGCCAAACTGGGACGACTGTTGGAATTATATAATTACACTGTAGACTCTATCCTCAATGGCATGATTACTTAAATAACTTGTATAGTCATAATCATTGCTGATATTTATTCATAATAAGTATTTCTGTGTTGTAGCAATGATTATTTCTGTTCTAGCTTGTCATGAATAGAAAATGAATTGTGAAGTAATTATTACAAAAAAGTATAAGATAACATGAAATCAATTTCTTAACTTAACAGGGGCATGTAAAGACAAGGTCACTGAACCTATCATTATCACCGGGGTCCAGAAGGGCAGTGTGGCGTACAGGTAAAGTAAACTCACAGAGAAAATGAAGGTATAAAATCATAATCTATGTAGACAAGAGTGGAATTAATCTTTCAAAACATCTGTCAGCAAACCATGGTCTCTTAGTATACAAACTAAATAAACCCTGGTCTTGTGATATACAACCTTACAGAGAGATTTTTTTTTTTTAATTTCATGATCAATTGTATTCATAAGATGTTGGTTTTCTCTTGAGTTTCATGGATACTGAATAAGTAATTGGTCCGGTGATTGTCATGTGTGGTTTGTCTGTTTACAAGGTGTGGGTCTGTCCAGCCCGGGGACAAAGTGTTAACCATCAATGATATACGAACTGATAACTTAAGTGTGGAGGAAGCAGAGAACACTTTACAGAGCTGGGACGACATTGTGAAACTTAAACTCAAACGGGATGATCCTTATACAGGTAAATACAGTACACAAAACAATTTCTAGTACCTACACTATGTTACAATAAAACCATGTTACAGACATTTAGTGGGCCAGATACACTAATGTTTTTTCAAAGATTTCAAAGGGGTGACTTTGCTGTTTTTATGCTAGCAATAATGGTATCAGAATGGTCACATGATGATGTCAATACTTATAATTGCAAATTTTGCATGAATTTCCATAGTGATACCGTGTAAATGTAAATATTACATTACAGATGATAGTGGAGAAGAGTGTGTGACATACACAGTGGAGTTACAGCGACATGGTGGCCCTCTGGGTATCACTATATCAGGGACAGACAACCCTGCTGACCCAATCATTATTTCTGATATCATTGAGGGTGGCTTGGCAGAACGGTTAGTTTTATGTACATGGTACAGATAACTTCTACAGATGCATACAAAATTAAATTTTTTAATGGTTTCATGCAATAATTTTTAAATCGATTAAAAAGAAATTATGAGATCTGTTTCATATTCTACCAGGGCACTGCAAGGTATTGGTATACATATATATCTTAAATGGAAACTTCCCAGTTGGTTTGGAGACTAAATTTGTCAGTTAGAGGAATGAAACATTTAAATTAACAGGTAATTAAGATTTTATAAACTTTAGAAATGGTGTGTATGACTTTAATGTTGAATGTCAAATTATCTCACAATATAAAACATTATTGAAAACGAGGTCAAATATTTCTGATAGTAAGAATCAATTAGGAATTACTGTACGTAGAGATACGAGAAAATACTCTGTTTCCAGGACTGCTGCTATTCACATGGGTGATAGATTGTTGGCCATCAATGGTACTACTACCAGGGCACGCACTCTCACCGACGCAACACAGATGTTACAGACTGCTGGAGACATAGTTAACTTGAGGATTGCCCGCCCTGCTGAGACATCAAGTAAGTATGGCCAATATATTGTTTCTCAGGGCTTTAAATATTTCAAAAAATAGCATTTGAGGTTTTAAGGAAAGTATGTAAGGATAACTCTGTCCATCCATCTCTAGACATAGAAGTTTGCATAATGCATGGTCAGTGCAGCTATATTCTTTAAAGTTCATTTCCACAGTATAGCAAAAAACTTCACTGTTAGATAGTCCCTACAAGAATAAAAATATTTACCTTGAAATCCCACATAATGTATGCTGGGGTAATATGAATGACAAAATAAATTAGTGATGAGAGATAATGTAAAAATCTTTCCTAAGCCCAAAGTATGGTATCTTTACAGTTAGATATTAAGACTTTTATTAGTACCTTTGTATTGATTTTGGAGTCAATTGTTTCTTCTCTCAAATGGGATATCTTCCTACCGAGGTGCTAGAAATTTCAAAGACTAGTTATTGTTTCAGGTAAAGTTCTCATTGGATGGAAGTCACATGTTTGGAATAGTATTTTTGTCTATTTAACACATTGCGAGGATTTTGAGTTTAACTGAGACACTTAATGAACCTGGAAGTGCCATGAATATTATTTTTAATCATGTTTTCAAACAAACAAAAAGAAATATATATATATAAAAATATATATTTTTTTTTTAAATAGATTTTAGATATTCTTTGCTGATGTAATGGACATTGAATATCTTTTAAACTCTTTTGATGTTTTCTTTTTTCAGAAACTAAAAACAAAAAACTACAGTTGGTAAGTGATTATTTGATTAAAAAGTAAAAATAATTTGAAAATTGAAATGCTTATATATAGAACTGATATAAATGACATATTCCAAGGATAATTCAATACTTAAATAATTTGTTTTAAAATTAGATTTAACTTTGTAGAAACACAACTCATTGTCCTCTTAGAATACCATTGATATGTAGTAGCGTTGATGTTGTGTGAAATATTTCAGTATAATAAATAAGTCTGTACACATTGTAAACTTTCACCAGAAATAATTATTGATAAGATGCTGATATCCTTATTTGTTTTGATAATTTTTCAGTAGAAAGCATAACTTGTTCTGTAACCTGTTTGATAGATAAATGTACCAGACTCCTTTTTAGGTCATCTGACTGAGGGGTCTGATAATCTATTGCGATCGCTTTTTGTCTGGCGGCTTCCATCTTACGTCGTCCGTCGTAATCATTTTCAACTTCTTCTCAAGTTCTACATGTCTCATTGAGCTGAAACTTACCTAAAATGATCGTGACATGATCCTGACCAAAGTTTGTTAATTTCAGGTTGGTCTGAAATCAAACATGGTCGTCATTGCTGCCATCTTGAAAACACATATTCGTCTCCTTCTCAAGTTAAAAATTTGAAATCTTGTATTTTATGTCAGATGACCGTTAAGGCCCTTGGGCCTCTTGTTAATTGTTGTGTTAAAAGCTTGAGAGACAGTTGTGCCAGACTTAATTTTCAGTGTAATTATAATATTTGTTGTACGTACAAGCTTTATAGACTGCTGTAATTGTTTGAATAACGTTTATGTATTTTCATCCTTTTGTCAGCCTGACCGCTCCACCACACCTATAGCCAGTGTAGACAGTGCCATGGAGTCCTGGGACAGTTCTGGACCAGATGTGGGCTCAGGGACAGGGGCACATGCCCTCATTGTGGGCAAGCCTCTCCCTAAAGCCAAGCCCAGCGGTATGTACTGAGATACCAGAATCAAGGAAATAACTAAATTGTGGATATTCTAGTTTGAATTATTAACAAAGTATTATCCCGGAGCATTTTTAATCGGAAAATAAATCTAAACTGTTTCTAGCTTTGTGATTTGAATAACGCAAGTTTGAAAAAATAATCATTCAGGTCTAGATTTTATCAAACAAAATACTGTTCACGATGTTTTATTGTCTATATAAGAGATAGATTTGTTTACATCTGTATTTCTTCATGAATTTAGTATCACAGTCCCAGGATTCTGCCAACTTTGCCACAGAAACCACAGGAAATGGTTGTAGTGAATTTAATCCTTCAGACTCAGAGTGGGACAATTACAGTAACTGTAGTCGGGACAACTGCAGTGATGAAGGGGATGGTAGTGATTGGCAGATCAGTAAAGCATTTAAGGACTATGAAAACCAATCAGAAATGTTAAAACAAATCAGTGCGAGTCTACAACAGAGAGGTACAGCAAGTTTGGACAGACGGAAATCTTCTGAACATAAGTCAAAGTTGTTAAAAAATTTCTCTCATAGTACTGCAAAGGACTTCTCTAGTGAAAGTGAACTCCATCATATGCAAGGACGGTCTAAACAGGGTACAAAGAGTAAAGGCAATCAATTAAAAACTGACGCCTATCAGGATCATGTGAAAACCATATTCTCCCCGACAGCTCTCCAGTTACACAAAGTAAAACTTGTAAAGGAAACTGCAATAGACGATTTTGGATTTGGTTTGTCGGATGGAATGTATGAAAAGGGTGTTTACATCAGCGGAGTTCGGGAAGGAAGCATCGCCGACAAAGCAGGAGTGAAACATTTTGATAGAATACTCCAGGTAGGTGGATCAGTTTCGGTTGACTGTTGGATAACATATTTCATGTAGTAGCGGAATTTTAAGTGTTTTTTTTTGGTCAAAATACATTTAGAGTTACGATTGTTGAGTTACTTACAAGCAATTGATATCATTATACTGTATTGCTGGTTATTTTCATGGCTTAAAAATTTTCAGTTTTCTTTTAAAGCAGTTGAATTATATTTGAAATTAAAATTTTGGGATTTGAATGTGAAAGAACATCTCATTCATACGAGTGTCATTATTTCATGGATGAAATTTTCAATGTAATGTTAATTATCATAAAATAACAAACACATCCCCTGGAAATTAAACAGCTAGACACTCATTTGGTTTTGCTTTTGATCCAGATCAAGACTAATTATATTATTAATTTGAACATGTTGTCCAAATGAATATTTCTGTGTTTGATTCCAGGTGAACGGACATAAAACACGGGATTTCGATTGTTGTTTGACTATACCTCTGATAACCAAAGCAGGAAACAAACTGGACATGATTATATGTCGTAATCCTATCGCCAAGAACAGGAGTCTGACGGGGGAAGGAAAAGTGAAAGAAACCAAAACTGTCAGGGATCACAACTATGTGGATGGCTCACATTTAGTTAAGGAGACCGGCACACCTAAGAGTGTGTGACAATTAGGGGTATGGGGAAAATATGGTATGTGATGTCCCAGGTGCATGTGTGTGAAGATGATAACATGCCCTTAAGTGTATGCTGTCTCAGGTGTGTGTGGGAAGGTGATAACATGCCCTTAAGTGTATGGTCTCTCAGGTATGTTTGAAGGTGATAACATGGTATATATGGGAAGACGATAACACACTCTTAAGTGTTTGTAGACCCCTGTTATGTGGGAAGACAATGACATTACACACCAGTTATGTGTGGGAATGTGATGATACACCCATTGGTGGGTGACATCCTATGTGTGTGAAAGATGACCCCCGTAAATTTGGGATGTCCCAAGTGTTTGTGCAAAGATGATGACATACTCATAGGTGTTTTTAAAGGTAATGATATGTATGGAAATATGATGACACACCCAGAGGTCTGTGGAGTCCTAGGTGTGTGAGGAAAAGTGAAAACAAACCATGCCCTTATATGTGGGATGTCCCAGGTTTATGTGTGAAGATGGGATGGCCTTATAAGAATGTGATATCTCAGGTGTGATTTGGAAGTTGATGACATGTAAGTATGTGATGTCCTAGGTATGTGTGTGTTGGTAGAATCACCTGTGATATTGTTTTAGATATTTTGGGTGTTAATAGCAGATCAAATTATATCATAAGATATATATGTGTGTGTATGAACCAAACCTCCAAAGCATGATTAACTCAATGTCAGGGGATGAGATTCCCACTCAATGTTAGGGGACGGCTTCTCATTCAATGTCAGGGGATGAGATTCCCACTCAATGTTAGTGGATGAGATTCCCACTCAATGTTAGGGGATGGGCTTCTCATTCAATGTCAGGGGATGAGATTCCCACTCAATATTAGGGGGAAGTCTTCTCATTCAATGTCAGGGGATGAGATTCCCACTCAATGTTGGAGACAGACTTCTCATTCAATGTCAGGGGATGAGATTCCCACTCAATGTTAGGGGACGGGCTTCTCATTCATTGTCAGGGGATGAGATTCCCACTCAATGTTAGTGGATGAGATTCCCACTCAATGTTAGGGGACGGGCTTCTCATTCAATGTCAGGGGATGAGATTCCCACTCAATATTAGGGGGAAGTCTTCTCATTCAATGTCAGGGGATGAGATTCCCACTCAATGTTGGAGACAGACTTCTCATTCAATGTTAGGGGATGAGATTCCCACTCAATGTTAGGGGACGGGCTTCTCATTCATTGTCAGGGGATGAGATTCCCACTCAATGTTAGCCTTTTTTGTAATTCCGTGAACAGCAGGACACATGGAGGGGATTATTATCTGTCCGAGGCTTTTAATTGTTCAATGAAATACTGTAAGTTTATGAATCTTTATACACACAACCATAGATTTTAAATTATCATGGATATCTACAAATTTTCTAATTCTTATTTTGATTATAATAGTAATGTAATACACAGATTTTATACAGCACTGTAAAGACAACTTCCTGAAGGTAGCTTGCAACATGCACATTATTTAAAAGTAATTAAATACATCCCATCTACTGTTAACATGGAATAGTCATATAAGATATGATAATCCAGGGCTCTCGATCTGCCAAATTTGGGGCTGAATATTCCCAATGCAAAATAGTATCTTTCTTTCCCAATTTAGACCCAAAGTTTTCCCATTTCTAAGGAAAACACCATTATTTTTCCCAATTCTAAGGGCCCCGGGCCCCAGTCCCAAAATGGGGTGTGAGAGCCGTGTAATCTTGATGGTTTTCTTAATATGTAAAACATGATAACGGTCAGTATTTATCTTATTCATATCTTATATAGACTTTTGAGATCTGTAGTTACATTAGTGTGACTTTACATTGAGATCTGTAGTTACATTAATGTGACTTAACTTTGAGATCTGTAGTTAAATTAAATGACTAAACATTGAAATTTGTAAGTTCTATTAAAGTGAGGAAGAAATAAGGTACAGGGATATATTTTGTGTGTATATTAGTTTGACAATCTAATTCAAAGATTAAAATTCAAGAAATAATTCAAATGGGACGTGCAATATACTGTCTAAATCTCTGTAATGAATACATCTACCGGGTACCCGTATCAATAGAACTGCTTCAAATTTCATGAATCATAAGCAGATTTTAATGTGACACTGTCCAACACTGATACAATTTCAGCTTTTGGAGGCACAACCTCAACTTTGGGGTCAAGCATATCTCCATATATAGAAATGCTTGACCCCAAAGTTGGGTTTATAATCTCCATTTATAGATTATCTCTATCTAAAGATTAAACGGTGTTTATTTCTCAGACTTTTCGATCTTTAGTTACACACAATACATGATCCAATTTCCATTTTCCATATACATTGTATTGTAATGGTACTTAAAAGAACAATTTTGACTGAATTTCCTGTGTTTCTATTTGACTTGCATCTTTAATTTCAATTTTTAAAGAATTTTTGTTAAGAGTTTGTTGCCAGGATTGAATCCATTAAAATATTGATGAGATTGGTGAAATGCATGAAAATGATCATGATGCAACATTGTCAAATAAGGGAGATAACTAATAATTTGCAGTTGTAAGAAATAATGTAGCATATGTAACAGGAACGGAAAAATTCAGGCCCAGAGCGGGGTTCAAACCCGGGACCTTCCAAACTCTAGACAGATGCTCTGCCAACCGAGCTAGCCGGTCACCGATGATTGACCCTGTCCAGTTCTGTTACACATATGTCCTTAAAGTCATATTGAATGTGTATTAATGATGTATCCTGTGTAAGCCTTGTTGATTTATGATAATCCTACACCCATTGGTTCACAAATTTGATCTGATTGACTCAGAATTCAAGCTACATAAAGGATATAATATAAAAATGTTTTTAGCAGATATTGATGTTATTCTCTAACAGTACATGTATATATCATAACACTGGATGTAAATTCTCTCTGATAATCATTTGTAGCTTAATATCAAATTGTAAACATTTACTGATATGAATATATATTTTTCCCTTTTACTTATTTTTATTTATCTTCTAAGACTATATATACAGCTATTTGTAAAGTCCGCGGGCGGAATCCTTATGAAAGTATATAACTCAGCAAAACGCACAAATAAGCTAAATTGATCTTCATTTGTGCCATGGTTTAGCGGGTATTTTTAATCAATCTCAGTTTCATATTTGTTCAGTAATTAATGAGTGCTTTCAAAATTGCCTTATAAAATGTGAAAGTGAAATGTGGTAGTTGTCCTTTTCTAGGTATTTTGTAGCTACATTACAAATCTACATACACAAAGATACAGATCTAGAAGATATCATCTCACATGATATACATATATAATACTGTAACCATGTCCGTTGTGTGTGCTCACACATTTATTATAGGGACAGTCCCACTGATTGATGTCCTACAACAGATGTATTCCATATCTTCACTGTGTATATGGGGAAACATATGCCCTCAAATCAAACTTTTCGTTTTTTTCCCAGTGTTCAAATCACTCAAAGATTGTGACGATAGTATGCCTGTGTACAATATGTGTCTTATCATTGTGTGGAATTATACACATCCAGCTTCATATTAAGACATAATTATTTCATTTGTAGTTAACAACTCTCTAGTGACAGTCTTTAATAAGTAGAATTTGTCTAAAGCTAAAACATTAGATTTACACAATACAAATGATCACCTTATCTACATCTTTAACTAAACTGGTTTGAAGTTTTAAACTTGTACTATAATTGCCCAGATGAATATCCTCCTTTCTTAATAATTTGAGAAATTTACAAGTATATGTAATATTATACACAGTTTCATATTTGTACCAGCAGTAGGGTAGTAAATAATAAAGGGAGAAAAAATGCTCTGATCAGAAAAATAAGGATTTTTGAAAGAATGTTTCATTTTGAAAAAAGATGGGAATGTTTATTAAGTATAAAGCTGTCAAGCTTAGTATATTACATTAAGTTCATTATTTAATTCTATTTAAGGTAATTATTGTTTATTTAATCTGTTCAAACATATGTAAACATAGTTAAAACAATCAATTACAATGTTATATTGAGGATTATTATATTATTGACTTACTATAGATGTATAGAGGCATTATTTTATTCATTCTCATAACATTCCAATGCTGTGTGTGTGACTATTGTTATTAGTATATATGAGGTTGTGCAATACATCTGTTATCATTACAAAATCCATCAGTTTAAGAAATAGCTTAAGGAATTTTCAATGTTTTTGAATTTGTAATTTGATTTGAAAGTTTAATGTGTCAACAGATGGATTATTTGTATCTTGTATATTAAGAATACTTGTCTGTCTGCAAACTATTGAATATTTATCCATCATTGTAAAGTTACGTCCTGGCAAGTTACGTATGTCAGCTTCATGCTGTTCACTTTCTTGTTTGATCACTTTAATGATCCTTGCAGGAGAAAGCTTAGATCTCCCATCAATTTTTCTCATACTATATACAGAGTATATTCACATTACATGTGTATGTCATCTTTAGAGTACTCGTATTACATGTGTATGTCATCCTCAGAGTACTCGTATTACATGTGTATGTCATCCTCAGAGTACTCGTATTACATGTGTATGTCATCGTCAGAGTACTCGCATTACATGTGTATGTCATCCTCAGAGTACTCATACTACATGTGTATGTCATCCTCAGAGTACTCATACTACATGTGTATGTCATCCTCAGAGTACTCATTACATGTGTATGTCATCCTCAGAGTACTCATTACATGTGTATGTCATCGTCAGAGTACTCATTACATGTGTATGTCATCGTCAGAGTACTCGTACTACATGTGTATGTCATCCTCAGAGTACTCATACTACATGTGTATGTCATCGTCAGAGTACTCGTACTACATGTGTATTTCATCCTCAGAGTACTCGTATTACATGTGTATGTCATCCTCGGAGTACTCGTATTACATGTGTATGTCATCCTCAGAGTACTCGTACTACATGTGTATGTCATCTTTAGAGTACTCATATTACATGTGTATGTCATCCTCAGAGTACTCATATTACATGTGTATGTCATCCTCAGAGTACTCATATTACATGTGTATGTCATCCTCAGAGTACTCATATTACATGTGTATGTCATCCTCAGAGTACTCGTATTACATGTGTATGTCATCCTCAGAGTACTCATTACATGTGTATGACATCCTCAGAGTACTCGCATTACATGTGTATGACATCCTCAGAGTACTCGCATTACATGTGTATGTCATCCTCAGAGTACTCGCATTACATGTGTATGTCATCCTCGGAGTACTCGTATTACATGTGTATGTCATCCTCAGAGTACTCGTATTACATGTGTATGTCATCCTCAGAGTACTCGCATTACATGTGTATGTCATCTTTAGAGTACTCATTACATGTGTATGTCATCTTTAGAGTACTCGTATTACATTTGTATGTCATCCTCAGAGTACTCATATTACATGTGTATGTCATCTTTAGAGTACTCATTACATGTGTATGTCATCTTTAGAGTACTCGTATTACATTTGTATGTCATCCTCAGAGTACTCGCATTACATGTGTATGTCATCTTTAGAGTACTCGTATTACATGTGTATGTCATCCTCAGAGTATGTCATCTTTAGAGTACTCATACTATATGTGTACTGTATTATTATTATATTATATTTTGTGTTAAAGAGTGCATGTATTGTAAGTCACCAATATTTCTTTTTTTCTGTATTTTTTTTGTGCATTTTTGGCTTGATTCGTAATTTAGAATCTTTGAAAAAAAACCTTCAGTCCTTAATTTGACGGTGTTTAATGAACTCTGAAATTCGTGAGTCAAGCCTGATATGATGCTGAATAGCAGAAATTCAAAAATATTTGTGATTTGCAGTAAAAATCAAAAGGTGCTACTTTATTTTTATTTCGTATGTAATCACTTGAGTTCATGTTGTAATTTTCGTGACAAACCAGAAAGACGTTCTTTTTCAAAATGTTGTTCAGATTTGAAATTTTGCCTT